AATATTTGCTACTGGTCCAGACTCAATTATTACTTATTCTTAACTAGTGAAAGAATTATTTCCCTCTGACAGAATCAACCAGATCATATTTGAAACTTAAAGTGTTTGTTCTTGAGGATTGTCATATATATGATAGATTTATTTTCCCTCTTTGCTTTTATCTGAATAGTTTTGGGGATAGAGAAAAGCATGAATAAGTCTGTTATCATGGATTTGATCCCCAAGTGAACTAATTAGTGTCTTTATGTTGTATGGCCACTTAATGCACTTATTTTTCAGGTCAGTTCATTATAACAGTACCAGGGGAGGGAGTGAGGATGATTTAATGCAAATCCTCCTTCACAGATAAAAGAGAAGAAGCAGTGCATTTCTAGCTGGTGTAAAGGTGAGGGTCCTGGAGCCCTGCTTGTTCTCCCCTTTCCTTTCCTCCATATTTGCTTCTATGGGGCCTCTGTAAAATCTTAAGTTGTCATGGAGCACAGTATGAAAACCAATATGGAGTTACAATATCTATGAGAGATGCCATCATTTCATATATAGGGATATTTGGGGCTTGGAAATACAAAGTAAGGTAATAATAACTGCTCAACTCTCACCATATCATTGCTGCTTTGATCAGATAGAATAATATATAACAAAGTTCTTTGCAAACTGAATGAGAGAACCACACATACAAAGGATATTTAGATCAGAAAAAGTAACAGCGATATTCATAATGATCCCCTCATTCTGGTGCTGTGTGGGTAAAAAGGGAAAAGGCCATGATAATCAACAACCACTATCTAAATAGCCTAATAAAATTATGACATACAACTACTTTCAGATTTGACTGTGCTCACTCATTCTGTGCTCTTTTAAATCATAGGAAAGAGGATCAAACATTCTCAAAAGAATACCGATTTTCTCTGTCACTAAAATGCAACTTTATTGACTAAATAATTTACTTAGGCCAATAGAATTGCTACCTACCTGTGCTCAACAAGCAAAATGATTTCCAACCTCAAGAGATCATGGATTTTGAATAGGATGTAATAAACAACTCTTTGTTTTTTAGTAAGCAGGCCAGCCCTAGGCAAAACGACAAAATAGTGTCTTTAACAACTCCCTATTCTCTTTTGTTTCTATCTCTACACTCCTCAAGCTCCAGCCTATTTTCATTCCTTTTGGGCTATCTAGCCCCTGCAAAGGAATACAGGCAGATTCACCTTCAAGGAACAAGACCTCAAGATCCAGCCCTTGTGATTCCTTCTCTTGATAATATAGGAAATAGTATTTAGCTAGCTAAAATCAAAAAATGAACCCATTTGCTAATAAAAAGAATCATAAAACTATTTTGTCCTTTCATCAAGATATGATTCCTTTATTCATTCATTTAGTAAACATTTATTGATTGCCTTTCATGTTCTAGACACTCTTGATGTGATGATTACCAGGACAACAGTCTCCATCCTCCCAGAGTGTACAGTCAGATGGAGAATGCAAGCAAGTAAACAGGTGGTTTTAATATGGAATGACAAGTTTCATTTGGGGAAAGTCTAGCGTTACAGAAACACATAAAGAGAGAACTTAACGCAGAAATTTGGAGGTAAGTAAAATCATTCCAGAAAAGCTGATTTCTAAGAGACAAAACATAATGGTTAAGAGCTCAAAGGTTAAAGCCAGGCTACCTGATTTAAATCTAAGCCCACCTCCTCCTCATCTTGTGACCTCCAACAAGTGGCTCAGTTTCTTTGAACCTCACTGAGTCTCTGCGAAATGAAGATAATAGTAGCAACACTAAACATACAGGATTGGCTGGGCACGATGGCCCACGCCTGTAATCCCAGGACTCTAGGAGGCCTAGGTAGGAGGATCACTTGAGCTCAGAAGTTCGAGACCAGCCTGAGGAAGAGCAAGACCCCATCTCTACTAAAAATATAAAAATTAGCCAGGCATGGGGTGCATGCCTGTAGTCCCAGCTCCTTAGGATGCTAAAGCAGTAGGATTGCTTGAGCCCAGGAGTTTGAGGTTGTTGTGAGCTTGGCTGATGCCACAGCACTCCACTCAGGGCAATAGAGTAAGACTCTGTCTCAAAAAATAAAAGTATTTCTATTTAATAAAATTATTTTTATTTACTTAATAAAAATAAATAAACTAATAGGATTATTGTGAAGATTAAATGAAATGATACACATAAATGCTTAGAAAAGTATCTGACATATGGCTACTGCTGAATGAGTAGAAGGATAGATGAGTGATGAGTCAAGGAAAATAAAGTAGGAGAGATGAACAGAGAACAGTATGTGTCAGCCCTAGAAATAGAGAGCATCATTTGCTGACAAATTGAAGCGAGCCTGGGTAGTGACTGCTGCTTCTAGCCATGGTGGAATGACAAGGATCTACCCTCCCACCTGAAACAATTAAAAACTGGGAAATCTATGAAATAACACTGTTTAGTCATTAGATAATAGAAAGCACAGAACAGTGACCATGAGAGGAGGGAAGCAAATGAGATGAGGTCAGCCCTGCAAGTGCCCCAGCTCACTGCCTGGAGAAAGTTTCCAGATAACACACCTAGAGGGGCAAGCCAAACTGACTCAGTCTCCCTGAGTTGAGGAGGCAGAATATGAAGTTCCTGGAGACCAACGTAGCTAGTATTTGTAGAATAGAGTACTATGGAGAAACAAGCTGCACAAACAGAACTCAGGAGACCTTCACAGGGCTCCCTGAATCTTCAGCCGAGTAAATACTTAATTGCACATTTGCAAGAGAAAACTACTGAGGCTGAAGAAAGAATCACCAGATAGGAACAGGTGAAACAATCTCTGGAGGTCATATAGGGTGGGGAGTAGGGTATCCACCAGCCACAGTAGTGAGACCGCCTAACACATGAGCTATCATGTACAGTCTTCACTAGAGTATTACCTTCGTTGTGGGACTAAATAACATTGTCTTGCCCTTTCTAGCAAAGCTTACAACAAACCTCAAAGGGCTCAAACAAGGCCAGGTGCGGTAGCTCATACCTGTAATCCTAACACTCTGGCAGGCCAAGGCGGGAGGATGGCTCAAAGTCAGGAGTTAGAAACCAGCCTGAGCAAGAGTGAGGCCCCGTCTCTACAAAAAATAGAAAAAAATTAACTGGCCAACTAAAAATACGTATAGAAAAAATTAGCTGGGTATGGTGGTGCATGCCTGAAGTCCCAGCTACTCAGGAGGCTGAGACAGAAGGATCGCTTGAGCCCAGGAGTCTGAGGTTGCTGTGAGCTAGGCTGATGCCACAGCACTCTAGCCAGGGCAAAAGAGTGAGACTCTGTCTCAAAGAAAATAAAAATAGGCTCAAACTTAGCTGCATCCCATAATAAAACCCTAAATATTAAAAGGATTAAAAGAAAAATCCAGCATTTAACAATATACAATTCATAATGGCATCCAATTAGAAATTAACAGGCATGCAAAGAAACAGAAAAATATGAACCATAAGCAGAAGATAACCTGGTTAACAGAAACAGAAATAACACAGATTATAGAATTAAGCAGAAAATTTGTTAAGAGCTACTATAAATGTTTGCCATATGTTCTGGGAGGTAGTGGACAGATATGGGCACGATGAGAAAAGAAATAGAAGATATTTTTTAAAAAGCCAAATTGAACTCCCAGAGATGAACAATATTGTATCTTAGATTAAAAATACAATAGATGGAGAATAACAGTGTATTAAACACTACAGAAAAAAAGAAATAGTGAATTTGAAGACCTAGCAATAGAAACTACCCAAAATGAAACATAGAGAGAAAATAGCATGAAAGTAGTTCAGTATGGCTGTAGCAGAAACACATAGAGAATGGCTAGAAAGGGAGTAGAAGCCAATCATAGAGGAACTACTAAGCTCCACTAATAAGCTTACACTTAATGTGTTTAGCGAAAGGGAAAAAAAAATCAATAAAGATTTTCAGCCAGCATGAAGAACTATGAGGAAAAGTATATTTGGGCAGAAGGGTTTCTTTGTAGCCCTTCAAAAATTACCATTTCAAAATTCCTAAATGCCCATCAAGAGTGGAAAAAATAAGTAAGTCATAGCATATTCACATAATTAAATATAACAACAGAATAAAAAATCAATTATGTGCAGCGATATGGATGATCATAGCAACATAATGGTGAGCAAAGAAAGTCAGGTACAAAAGAGCACAAACTGTACAATTCCATATGAAACAAAAGCAGACTGAATAATTTTATCATGTTAAAATGAGGAGAGGGATACCCTTGGTGGTAATGAAATAAAGGGGCTATGAAGAAAACTTCTGGGGTCCTGGTAATGTTTTGTTGCTTGATCTGAATTGCAGTTTACATGGGGAATGTTCAGTTTATGACAATTCATTGACCTACACTCTCACAATATATGACCCCTCTCTGTGTATATTAATCTGCTATCATCTGTTTCTGAAGTGTGTCATTAAGAAGGTTGACTATGGCTTGGACCTAATTATAATACAAACACTTAGGAATGTGAGAAGGGAAGAGGAACAACTGGATAATTAAAGATCAGAACACATTTAGACTGTTAGGGCAGTGTTGACAGTAATGGTAGCAGTGTTTGTTTTGTTTTTACCAGCCAGAATATGCAAATTGCAGCTGTAGAAATTGCACTAAGGCTACCTCAATCAGTCCCTAATGCCACAGGCCTGGCAGTTCCCTGAGGCATATTCTCCAGGGCTCTGATGGGCTGTTTTCACTCACTCTGTTGATAGAATTCTCAGAGCCCAGGACACAAAGAGGCTTCAAGTGAATGATAACTTCAGCAAATGCTTCATCTCTTATTCCTTCTTTTCCCATTTTGCTTACAGTCAGGCATATCCTAAAGGTATGTGAACTTTCTTTTACAGAGCATTTACTGAGTGTCATAGAGCACAGTCCCTCGATATGAGAAAGGAATAACTAACTTATTTATTAGCATTTAAAGGAAACTTTTGACAGTTATTTGAAACTTGATTGTACATGCTATTGAATTATGGCTATTTTTCCTTCTCTTTCCAGCAACAAACTTCATACTACCAAAATATTTTTTTTTGGAGCTAAAGAGTAGCGATGTAACAAGTGCAATTTGCCCTCTGTTAGAAAGGATGTATTTTTTTTTCCACTCTGCCTCTTCAGTATATGGTCCTCCAAGGATACAGATAATTGTTATAAACGTCCAATATGAGGAATAACCTAAAACATAAAGATGCACAGAAATATTAGTTGATTGTAGGTAAGAAGATCATGGTTAGGTAGCTAATATATGGTATAGATGGATAGCTAGATAGGTGATAGAGAGATAGATAGTTCTCTATTTATTAACCAAATAAATAGACAGAGGAAGCAATTCTTTAATACATCTTATGATCAAATATTTGTTTTCTTTGAATGGGTAGGCTTTACCCAAACTTGTGCAAACATCTGTAGTCACTCTTCCAAACTTTTCAATGCTAATGACCATAATCTCTTCACATACACATACTACAAATATACTATATATATACTATATATACAATATACATATATATAATATATATACTATACATATACTATATATACTATATATATATACTATATATAGTATAAGTACATATATATATATACACAATATATATTTCTGTGACAATAATTTTTTCCCAAGTGACTATCTGGTCACAGACAAGGCAGAATGATACATTGGCCACAATTTTGATAATGGGTATGTCTTTTCAAAACAAACAAAAATGATCTGCATACTTGTTTTTAAATGTGTAGTCATGAATAAAACTTTTTATAATAAAAAGGTTTAAGAACTTTATAATTATCTGTTTAGGAAGCACAATTCAAGACGTATATCTTAAGAGATGGTGGTCATATTTGGCAGGCAAAACTGTTGATAACACTTTCCATGTATTCTTAAATTTTCAAAATGCTACAATCATGAAAACAATGTACCTTTTAAACTATTTTAATTGTGTTATTAGTGTGATATCAATCAATATTTGAGCAGCTTTAAAATCTAATGGAGTTTTTCCTTTATTTTGATTTGTCTTTTAGAAAACAAATGCATTTTCAGAGAGAAGCCCTATAAAAAGGGTTGCATTTACTACCGTGTTTCTCTGAAAATAAGATAAGGTCTTATATTTATTTTTCCTCAAGAAGACACCCTAGGACTTATTTTCAGGGGATGTGTTAGTTTTTTTAAGTACGGTACAACAATCTACATTTGTTCAAATATAGTTAAGTTGTCTTCTTCTGGATCATCATAACTCTCCAAACCCCAAATTCCATCCTTAATTTCTTGCGACTCTATTTCCTTTGGAACCATTGGTCCCAATCTCTCATGTCGAGCAATAGAGCTCTCATGGGGCAGATGAGAAGGGCTGCTCGTCTTCTTTACCGCTCCAGGATGAAATGCGTGGGTTGTGCAGATATGCTGCATAGCCACGCCCATCACTAGGTCTTATTTTCAGGGTAGGGCTTCTATTGCGCAAATGCTTAGAAATCCTGCTAGGGCTTATTTTATGGGCAGGTCTTATTTTCGGGAAAACACGGTACCTGTGCACCACCATGCCCACATTGATGATCTATAGCCTGTGTCCATCTGATTCGTTCAGTAACTTTAACGTCATTAATTTTCAGCTGTTTGAGCCTTGTTCTTTTTGATTCCCTCATTGGCCAAAGCAAAGATGTTGTTAGAACATTTTTGCCTAGTGACTCTTAAGATTTGATGTTAAATTTTGTCAGTAAAATATCTCCTTTATCAATTGTGATTATAAGTTATTACTAATAATATCTTATCAAAATTTCTATTATTGCATTACTCACATACTATTAAGTATAGCAAAAATTGAGAGGAGAGAGAGTTTTCAAGGAAAAGAAAGAAAACAGTGTTGACTACTATATTCAGATATCTTTTGCTCTTGATCTAATGATCAAATGCTGTGATCTAATTTACTCTTTTTCTCAAACAAGGTTACAAATTTCCCCACAATGCAAAATTGATTTGCTAGAAACTTTAGAATTTTTTTTATATTCCCTCTATTGACTTTTTAATATATCTTATATAAGACTGATGCAATAATTTTTTATTAAATAATTTATAGCTAAATAATGTTTTTAGGTATCATTCAGTCTTCTGGGATAAGTTTTCAGCTTCAGTGTTTCATTTCCATCATGTTTTTCCTAGTTCCTTTCCATCATATGGTCCAAGTATGGGAGGAAGAGTTTACATAACATTGGGGAAAAGGAGGCAACTAACTAATGTGCACAAGCTGGTAACCTTTAAAGGATAACTGGTTCCATTTCTGCGCATTCATCTATTGTGGGTGTATAGATAATAGAACTCATTGCATAATATCCCTCCGGCCTTTGGCATCTGCCAGTACTATACATTTCTACTCTGTTTTATAGCTTGGCTGCTGGACTGAAACAGCCTACCCTAGGCTCTGCATGGCATCATCTCACCTTCGCCACAGCTCTCCCCACTGCAAGAACACTCGGTTACCCACACAAGAATTGGCAGAAACCTTGGAATTGTAAATTTGAACTCTCCATCCTTGGCAATGCAATTCCGTGCTCTTAACTAAGTTGAACTGTCCACTCCCAATGGTGAGTTACACTGCACAGTTATTCCTTCAGAGTCAGACTGGGAGAAGGCAAGCGCCCTTCACATCTGTTTCATAATACATCTTCTTATTCCAGGTAGAATTTAGCCACATGTTTGAACATCAGATGTCTACTCTATCCCATTTCTTTACCCCTCAAACAGTTGCTACTGTCACTGGTTTTCCAAGGTGGCTACTCAAAGTACTATCATTTGTTTACAATACACAAACAAATTCTAAAGTTCCCAGCAAATCAATTTTGTATTGTGGGGAAGTTTGTGACCTCGTTTAAGAAAAAGAATAAGGGTCTAAGTGTTCAAGGGTTCAACTTCTTTCATTTACTTCCTCTTTGACTTTTTTACCTAACTTCTGCTTCATATAGCATAAGAGAAAATCTGTTGTCTAGAATCCAACCTGGCTCTTGATGTGGGAAAGGAGATCTTGTTATCAAATCCTACATTGAATGTCAGAAAATGAAGACTAGATATTACTCTTTCCATTCCTGCTGTAACATTTTGAATTTTTCTCCCCAGGCAGAGGGTTGCCTCGATCTAACTATGAATATTCTATGCACAGAAATACAAAAGAGAAAAATACATTAATATCTTGTCAAAATATTATCACCCTCCCCTCAACAATTTTATCTCCTCTCTTGAAAACCGCATAGGATAAGTTCCTATTTGGAAGGAAAGGAGAGAATCGCTTCCTGTATCTTCAAAGTCATCTTCCAAAATGAACAGCATTTTCAAGGTATAGAAATACGAAAGTCATGTTATACTAGGTAATCTTAAATCATTTTTGTTTCCACATTGCAATTCTCTTATAAGAATTTAAACACGCCTGGATTAGGAATAATTATTTTTCTCCTCTTACCCATCTATAGGTGTGTGCATACCCTCAACTGGATATTTCCTAAAACTTTCCTCCAGCATTCAACAAATCAAAGTTAAATAAATTAATAGGGAGATGATAATTATTTTTGAATTATCTGATTGCTTCTAAAGGGTAGGAGTAAGAAGAATTATGCTATTGATTGATCAGTAAATAATCATTCAGATAGTTTACTTTGCACTTTGGTGAAAATGCTGATATAAATACAGGTGTATAAAGAAAGACAGGTCAGTGCAGCTGGCTTTTTTTTTTTTTTTTTTGCAGTTTTTGCTGTCTACTTCTGTGGCTTCTCTTTCCTTATTCTGCTTGGTTCTTCTAGTCTTTGTTCCCACACTAGCTATCTTTTACTTTCTTTCTCCTGGGATTTTTCTCTCTCAGCTTTATAGCAACCCAATAAACTTGTGAAAATAAGGGGGACTGTAACAAGCTTTTGCAATGCTTAAGGAATAGATTGCATAGTTCCAGAAAAGATCTCTAAAACTACATGATATTACACCAAGTATAATGAAATCCCAGAAGCAAATAGTACAGTTATATATTATATAAACATAGCCATAACCTCTTCTCTTACATGTGAGTTACATTTGTGGTTTTGAAAAACTCCAGGGTAGACTGAATGTGGTGCACATGGGGTTAGCCTTAAAGACATTAATGAATTCTTGGGGGAGGAATGCGGAACACCTTCAGCCTGTGTTCACTGAACTTCAGGGTGAAGATGATAGAATTTGTCCATTCATGGTTTTCTCAGGTGGCCACTCAAAGTGTTACTGAGATATTCACTTCCCCTGGAGACTTTGAGACACACAACTGAAAGTTACTAGAAAATCCCAGACCTAACGAGCTCTGGGAAAGTATTTTAAGTGATGTACACACACAAAAAGTAGACTTAGAAGTGATTTTTGAATGTTTTCTTAGGAAAACGCACAAGACATTCGTAGTGGAGGTGCGAGAGTTGAAATGTGACAGATATACAGTTTTGTAATATCATTCATTACTGCAGTACAGGGGTCTGATGTCTATCAGTTCATGTCCCCTAAAGCAGAGCCAAATACACAGCCAATTTAATCAAAACCTGATATTGAATTGGTAGCAAGTATGTAACTTTGGCCTCTCTCCCTTAGGGCATCTCACCTATATGTGTGTTTCAAAGACATTGCATTATAATTCACCCATGGTCTAAGATGGAAGGGATGAAAAAATTAATCAGTTTAGCTGTTCAAATAGTCCCTGCCTCCTGCCCCTGGTTTAGAGATATGTTTCAATAAAATGTGCTGAAGCAGAAAATCATAGACCTAAGATCAGATAGACCTGATTACTCATCAATTTACTAGATGAGGACCCCTAGCTTCAGCTTTCCCATCTTAAAATGAGGAAGGTAGTATCTACTTACTTTAAATCACCATTGTGAGTATGAAAGCAAATATATATAAACTACCTAGCATACTGTTTGCCCTGTGTAAGACGGGTTATCATTTTAATTTATTTCCTCTTCTAGGATTAAAAAAGCCATGAAATTTATCCTGTAGATTTAAAAATAATTAATATTATCTGTCACTCTTGATCTGGAGGGCACTCAACATAAAAAAATAAATAAAAACTAACTCAAAATACATAAACTAACCTAATAATATCGATCTTATTGCCTGGGAGACTCATTTCTCTTCTATACTTCAAGAGACCCCCCAAATTAAAATCAAAATTAGGTCATATCTATTT